AATAAATAATGAGGTATGAATTTTAATCTATTGGACTGAAAAAAAAATAAAAAACTGCGATGCGGAGGATCTTCCTATTAAAATTAAGAGCTCATATTTGGTGAGAATTGTTTTAAGTTGTCTAGCAACCCATTTTTCCGTTGCACTTGAAAAAAAAAAGTCATTTTTTTGACCCACCCTAATATATATATATATGTTTATTTTTTAATAAAAGTAAATTACATTTGAAAATAAATTTCAAGCTATGAAAGAATGAAATCCATGAGGGGGGGGAGGATCTTTGATCAGTATAGTAACGTAAAATATAGAATACAAACTTTCAAATTTCGAATTTAAATTCCAACCCGAACCTCTGTGGTCCAGTTTTTTGTGTACCTTTAATATAAGTGTATATATGTATAAATATATATATAATAAATTGTCAAAAATATATTCAAAAATATATGGATCTCGATACGATTTCCTTTGTTCGTGTCGTCGAATCGTCCGATCACAAGTAACCCTTGTATATACGGGTATTATACGAGCGTTCAAACTCTGCCGTCTTCCTCGCGTTATCCTTGCTCCACCTGCTGCCACCCAGACGTCCATTTGCATGCTTAACAACGTAATGTTTTCAGAGAAGAATGAAAAGTATGTGTGTTTCGCTACGCACACGAGATATACAGCCACGATCGCGATTCCTCTCGTAGCCGCCATTGTAACGCTTTCCGTTGGCCAATAAGCGGATTCGTTGCAATGCGCATTCTACTATCCTCCTTTTTTTTCTCTCGTCCAATTTTTTTTTTACTTTTCCTTTTCCTTTTTTTTTGTTCTCGTATTCGTTCGAATCAACATTTTCCATTACTTTACGATCGTGACTGTGTTTTCATGAACATACGAAAGAGGAGATCTTAATACGTATTAAAAATAAATATTATTTTTCTCTTTACAAATTTTGCAATAGAAAAGAAATCATTTTAATTTAAAAGACACGAAAATTTTTGAATTTTATTCCTGTAAGTGAAAATCTCCTCTATCGTTTATTTCAGGTTTACTTATATATAAGTATAAGCATTAATATAAAGCAAATGTCACGTGTGTTGCTATGGACCCATCATTTTCCTTTCGTCGATATCCAGGATGCGAAAATGAGAAGATTTATCTACGAATTTCCGTGTACATGTTTAATCTTTTCTATTTTATCCATTTTTTTCTTTTTCCCTATTACTTTATCATAGCAGAGCACATTAACATCACAAATAATAACATAATCCTACAGAAAATGATTTATACAATAAAACATTTTTTTTCTTTTTGTCGAGAAATCTCTTTTTGAATATAATATCATCATTGAAACATCTGTACTATAGACAAACATTTTAGACGTATCGATTTAAATATATTCCTCGATGCAAACGATTAGCCGAGGAATTGCCAAGAATTTCAGAATATTCAACGACATTAGAAACGCGTGGTAATCGTGCGAATGACAAGTTTCTTACTTAGAATGTTACGGCAGGAACATTATATCCTATTCCAAGGTTCTCCTTGAAGCTTCTCCTTGAAGAGGAACTCTAGCTCTTCCTCCTCTCTCCCTCACCAACAAACGAGTCTAGAAGATATATGTGTATATGTACGTTTGTACGTATGTATGCATTACAGGACAACTCGGAATCTTATTGTTGGAAACAACGATCGTTTGTCGGTGAGAGAGAATCGTGCTGCTTATCCTACAATAATACTAAGCGGTCTAAGTTTTGCATACTACGACGTACTTTCGTGTCCGCGACGGTTAAATGCAACTCCTTTGCGAAAGTGTTACGCATATCCGCATTACATATCCCAGTTATGTACGCACGTTCAAACTTGCCAACTTTAACAGCGCGCGTCCCTAGACTCCTTCTTAGCGAGTTAAAGGTCCCACCCCTATACCTTGAAATAGAAAGGAATAAATTTTGAGTTAGAATTTATGGGAAGAATGCGTACAAATGAATTGGTAGACGTGGTACAATTTTTTTCGTTTCTCTTATCGGTATCGTAGAATCGTTCTTGTTTACGTATAACGAACAGCAATCATTTTTATTCCAATCGTGAAATATTCATAACGTCCAATTATTTTCCTGATTTCTCTGATAAAAAAAATATAAAAAAAAATAAAAAGTAATATTCTCGTTTCGTATAATATATCATTTTAAATGCGACTGATAAATTTTCAACGTAATTGGTACACGAATATTTTTGCAGTACCACCGCCACCCCACTGTTGCCATTTCTTTCGAACAATACAAATAAAAATCATCGATAAACATTCGTACTACGGTGTACCATTGATGATTAAAATTGATACCATCCTTGTGTTCTGTACATTTTCAGCGATACAAAATTCTATACATACGTGTGTACATCGATATAGCGAACGCATCGATAATTTTTCATATATCAAATTAATTATTACAGCGGAACGATTTTCTTTTATATGTATATATATAGGTATATATATATTACCCAACATATATCGAACAGGAATTCGGAATAGAATAGCTCGGTGATTTTAATCGAATTTCGCGGCTAAAAAATCCATGAAAAAGCTCCGGCGCATAGTCGACGCTGTTTTCGAATCACGACATTTCCGCGTGCAAAAGCAGTAGCCAACGAGGGCGCTTAATCCTCCGTAATAGCGGCCGTCCTAGAGCGCGATAACAGATACCACACCCTTACACTTAACATACACACACATACACACACGCTCACGCATGAGCGCGCGAGCGCATAGGTACACATGAGTTTACAGACTTTGCACCTGCAAAGTGTTTCGTCGACGTCATTCGACGGTGACGATGCGTACTACTCACTCTTACACTCAAACCCCTGGAACATACGTTCTTACAAAAACACAGGGGGTGTTTGCGATCGTGAATTATAAAAAAGCTAATGTAAGTGAAAATCCCTTAACAGAAAGGGGACAGGATAATCGCCTTTTTCATTCAAAATGTTACGATAAATCAAGAGAAATTTATCGACTTTCTTTTCCTTTCTTTTTTTCTTTTCTTTTCTACTATTTTCACATTAAACACCAAAAAACAAAAATCAATTCAAATCCATCTTGTATCATCGGTATATTATAGACATCTTCTAGATAAATATATTCGAATGTGCCATTTAAAATAATACCCCGTCTGTTTTCTTGTTATATGAGATTTCCACGGGGACACTGTGAAAGTTCCATGGATATTTATGGCTACAGCTGAGACCATACATATATTACACGCACGTATGTGTTACTGGCGGCATTTGGGACTAAAATTCCTCGTCTGTCTTACCTTAAACACCACCTGTCATTTGTGTTCTAAAAACTCTCTTGCAAAAACACTGCTCATTACTAACAACTTTTCTCTCCTCGTTTCGTTGATTGCGTTCTGAAGATTATTTATGACCGTGTTTCTCATGCTAACGCGATACTTATTCGTGAGTAATAAATACGTGCCGAACTTAAGCAATATAATAAAGAAATAGAATTACATTTAACTGAGTGCGAAAATGCTACATTTGATTTTCATTATCGGTTGTCAACCTCGCGCGAGAATAGCGAATCGTGATGATCTGATCCAGTGATTATCATTTTCTGATATATAACTAACCTTCTTTTGATTAACGCGACGAATCGTAGGTGCAATCATCGTAATTCCTGCGCGGTGAACGTACGCAGTGAGATATTCGAGGAGGATCCTTGTCCTGGAACTGGAAAATACGTCGAGGTGCAGTACCATTGTCTAGGTTGGTTGAAATCCTATACATTTTTTTTTACTTTTTTTTTTTTACGTGCGACAACTCGAAACATCGTTCATCGAAACTCCATTAAAAATCTGACACGAATCGATATGGCACGGTACATTTGTGGATAAAGTAAATTTTCCTCCCATTTTTCTTCCCCCCTCTTTCTTCCATCTTTTTCTCCTTGATATCGACTCGAAAAATGAAAAAGAAAAATAAAGAAAAACAAAAGGATATATAATAATCTATGGCAGCACACGTGACAAGCTTGTCAAATTTATTCCTTTTGTTAATTGTTGGCCCTTTTGACAAAAACCTCTTTAGGTGTAACGACCAACAAAACTGCAGCATCGTTGCATCGACCTCACAATTCGGTGATCCTTGTCCTAACACGCACAAATATCTCGAGGCACATTATCGTTGTGTCTCTGGTAAGTACAATTTTTCTATCAATGACATTCATTTTCCTAATTTGTATCCATAAGAACTACACCACTTTATGTTCTAATTAAAAAGACTGTTCTTCTTCAAACCGAGTCCACTAGGGTCTTGAGTAGCTCGGTAGTTTAAACCAGTGGTACGTAAACTGTTATATTTTTGAGGATCGAGAAAAATCTGTCACGAAAATTTGGTCTACTTTTAAAATAAAAATAGCATAATACTATTACTATTACTATTACTATTACTATTACTATTACTATTACTCTTACTATTACTATTGTTATTATTATTATTATTATTATTATTATTATTATTATTATTATTATTATTATTATTATTATTATTATTATTATTATTACATTTATTAATTTAATTGCACGTGAAATAATGAAAGAAATTTTTGTAAAACAAAAGTGTTCACAAGTATAAACAGTTTGCGCACCACTGCACACAAAATACGGGTTTCAAGTTCAACATCCGGCCAGCCCACTTCTGGCCCATTTTTTGATCCAATCAACTCTTTGAATACATGAACCTTGTTTTTCACGATCGAATCGTCAACGAAACTTATCAAAGATTCAAATTTGTTATTAATACGAAAAGAATTTATAATAATCGCGATCAAGATAAAAATAATGTTAACATGAATCCATCATTTTTTATCGTCTATAAAGATAGAAGAAAGCAAGCAAGGGTATTAAATCTAGATTGAGAAAGAGCTGTCCGGAAACACAGTTTGCTAACGAATATGTATTACGTGCTAACAGATCGTTTTTGTTGGTGTCAGACTTGTAGTGAACGTTTCCGCTGCAACCGCGTTGAAGAGACTCGGGTTGCACATGACGCAAGACACGCAAACAAATGGTACCAGTGAACCATCGCGTTAGAATAACATAAGTAACATTCTCTCTCCTCTCCATCCTGTTTTCTACGTTTTCTTCAGCCAGGAAAATTCTACCACTCTATAAATTTACATTCCAAATCTAGATATCATCATACGCGTATAATAGAAATTAACGTTTCTCTTAATAAAACGATTCGATCGTGATTACAATTTTTGTACAAATTAAATAAAAACTTAATCAGTTTAATCAATTAACCATTTTTATATGGTTTCCTATTACAGCATGAATACAAAATTACTACTAATGAAATTGATCAATTGATTGCTGATAATTCTATATATTTAAAATCAAGATTAATTTATAACTAATGGGCATATTTTGGAAAAAATTCATTCAAATATTTGTAAGTCCAAATTTTTCCATGGATCTTATATATCAATAACGTTTTATTTTTTCTTATCTTCAATAAGTTTCGAAAATGTAAAAAGTAATTTAAAAAAAAACAGCTGTGCAAGGTAACTTCTTTTCAAGTAAATCAAAAAGATTTTCTATTTTCCTATTTACACGATCCGCTGGAATTATTTTTCTTTTTTAATTATATCAACTTGTTGATATCTGACAAACTTATAAACGGATGAGACAAAATTCACCTTGTAAATCTTTTTTGCGACGTCGTTTTCTTACATTCACGAAGCTCTCTCAAGGCTTCTTTTTCTTTCTCTTTTCTCGTTTCCACTGCAGACTCGTTAAAAGATATCCACGAAAATATTTTCAGCGACTACACCAACGACGACGTCTCGACCGAGTCCTCCGTGGTTCATAACTTCGCAACCGAGCGTTTGGAGCACGGCTAAGCCAACCGTGAGACCTCCCTCGAGGATTACGACACCGGCGGTTCAACAGCCACCGCAACCACCACCGGCACCATCTACACCAGCTTTGCCAATAACTACTCCTCCAAGGTCAGCTTCCGATCCTTTACTCATTTTATTCTTCCCATCTCTTAATATTAATCTTCATCTAATTTTTGTCGTAATTCTTACCCTTCATAACGGGTAGACGACTGCTTTAAGCATTCACCGTTAAAATGAACAACTTCATTTTTAGTCCAACCTCGACGAAGTCCTTCGACGAGATGGATATCATCAGAGAGGACCAAGATTCAATTCCGCCATCAAACGGTGTCGCAGCAAACGGTGCAGCGGTACCGCCTATCGCACCTGAAACAATGCAGCCCACAACTACATCAACATTTGCTCCATGGAGAACTAGTCGTAAACCAGCTGGTAAATAAATCAATTTTATATTTTCTTTTTTTTTCATTAACATCAAAATAAAACTTAAGCTCTCGCTAATCACGATTTTTATTTCTACTTTTAGTACCCAGTACTTATTATCCAGAGTCCAGCTCGAACGGACAATGGTATGATTACGGACGACAAGCTTGTCCACCGGTAATAGCACGAAATCTTTCATGGAACGCGACTCGTGCTGGAGATGTTGCCGTCCAAAGTTGTCCAGGTGGTGCCAACGGCCTGGCTCGCTGGAGATGTCTTGCCAAAGGTGATTCCGCGATTTGGCATCGAGACACACCAGACTTGAGCGAGTGCCGTTCTGTTTGGTTGACGTCCTTGGAAAATAGAGTGACTGATGGTGATGTAATCTTGGGTATCAGTCGAGAACTTTCACAAGTAACGAACAATAGTCGTGGTCTTTACGGTGGTGACATGATGATCACTACAAAGATCATAAAGAATATGGCTGAGAAGATGGCACAAGGTATTAGGACTTATCAAGATCCCAATCAAAGCGAAGTTAGTGTTACGGAGCTTTTGCAAGGTGTTGTAAGAACAGGTAGCAATCTTTTGAATGAAGCACAGATGGCTTCTTGGAAGGATCTCAGTCATCAGGAACAAATGAGAGTAGCGACCTCGTTGTTGATAGGTCTAGAAGAAAATGCATTTCTTTTGGCTGATACTTTAACTCAAGAGAAGACGATTACTCACGACTGTAGAAATATACGTGAGTTATTTTTACAATTATTTAACAGATCTCTCTCGTTTGATATTCATTCTTACACTGAAATATTTTATTATTAATAAATTATGAACCTTTTGTTTTTTTAATAGTGATGGAAGTTCGTGTATTGGACACACGTAACATCGGTAATGATCTCGAGATCTTCCCAAATAACCTTGCGGAAGGAAGATGGACAGCATCCACAGCTCATGTCGAACTAACCAGAGGTGCACTTTTGGAAAACAGCGAAGCTGGGATCGTTCGACTGGTCTTCATGGCCTTCAATAGACTCGAAGAAATTCTTCAACCGCAAGCTGAATTACCGTCCGTCGTAACAAATGACGATTCGCAATCGTTACCAAAAAGAAACACGACTAGGTTATTGAACAGTAAGATTATTTCTGCTTCGCTAGGAAAAGGTCGACATATACAACTGTCGGAACCAGTAAGGATATACTTCAGGCATTTGACATTGGAAAATGTTACCAATCCTACTTGCGTCTTTTGGGATTATATTTTGAGGTAATCGTTTGCAGTTCAAAAATCATAAAAATCCAAACAATTAAAGATAATCATTGAATGATCTTTTTTTCTTTCAGTGGTTGGTCAGAAGAAGGATGCCAAATAAAGAAAAGCAATGATACGCACACAGTATGCGAGTGCAATCACTTAACAAATTTTGCTGTTCTCATGGACGTTCATGCAATTAGACTGGACATCGCTCATCAAGTCGCTTTACAAATCATCACGTACATAGGCTGCATCATATCTATCGTCTGTCTAGTGTTAGCGATACTTACTTTTCAATTGTTTCGTGGGCTTAAGGTATAATTACAATAATCCTAAATATGATTGTACGAACGTTTTTATTTCACTAACCAAATCACTATTCCTAATTTGAAATGATTTACTTTTTAGTCCGATAGAACAACAATACACAAGAATCTGTGCACCTGCCTGTTAATAGCCGAAGTTTTGTTTATTTGCGGAATCGGACAAACGAATCAGAGGATCGTCTGTGGTATCGTTGCTGGTTTATTACACTTTTTTTTCCTGTGTGCATTCGCCTGGATGTTCCTCGAAGGTATGATCACAAAAAAAGAATGAAATTCAAAAAATTGTCTATAAATTAGACCAATCGTATTAATTAGATTCTCTTGATTCTATTTTCTCAACAGGATTTCAATTGTACGTTATGCTGATCGAAGTTTTCGAAGCGGAAAAGTCTAGACTCCGATGGTATTATCTTGTTGCTTACGGGGCACCGTTGCTGGTAGTTGCGATATCCTGTATAATCGATCCATTCAGTTACGGTACCGATCGATACTGTTGGCTTCGAGCGGACAACTACTTCATCTTCAGCTTTGTGGGACCCGTAATACTCGTAATCTTGGTAATTATGTAAAGCAAATTTGATGTTGCAATTGGTAGCTCGTTCTTGACAATTCCATCAATGTGATACATATTCATTCAATATCAATTAGAAATTAGGCTACCAAATTAAAAGCAAAAGTTTTTGTTTAAACTCTAATTTAACGATTAAATACAATTTTGTTTTTTTTTTGTTTTGTTTTTTTTTTATAACAGGCAAATCTCGTATTCCTGTCGATGGCGATATACATGATGTGCCGACACGCAAATACGACGGTAGCCATGAAGAGTAAAGAACATTCACGTCTAGCTAGCGCAAGGTAAGCGCAAATTATTTTTGAGCTGTGTTCCACTTTATTTATCTATCGTACATCAAACGGATTGTACATATAATATAAAAAGAAAATCGTTGATATTATATATCTGTCATTAAACATGATCGAGATTATTAATCCCCTCATCGAGCGTAGAGTCGAAGTGTCTGTTTGGTGCTTTCGGTTCATATTCGCAAGCTTTCATTGCTTAAGGAGATCTCCCGATGCGAATCTCGTTGTCACGCATTATTCTTGCGGCCATGCTAAGTTTTTATTGGTTTTGGTTTGAGTTCTATGTTGGAATGACCGCAAATTTCGTTCGTACGACACGCCACTGTATTGCTGCAAATCCTAAGTTTACTCGTCCATGATATAAATATATTATATCCATGATATAATATATCTATACGTGTATATAGATATATATCGTATACATTACGTTTGACTACTTTTTTCTTCTTCAAATCATAAGATTGATGTTAGCTAGCGAACGCATTATCGTTTTAAAAACTGTAACAACGTAATTGTCATAATTAAATAATCAATCTCTCTTCCGCTCCTAATATCTTGAAACGAATGACAAGTCTACTTGTAATTCGATAAAGCTGTTAAGAGATAATGTAAGGGAGATGAAGTCAATGTGAAAGCAAGATAAAAAAAAGTTAATTGGGATAAAAGACGGTAAAACATACAGACAAGCTTTTCATATAATAAATAAAAAAATTAAAAAAATGTCGACACATCGGTGATGGTATTATAAAAATATCTTGCAAGCCCGATTCGAATTATTATAAACAACGACACATATTTTTTTCTTTTTATCGTGCACATTTTGCTTCTTATGTGTATCCATTACATTTAAATAATATATTCATGTTAAAAGAGCACTGCGAGATCCTCTTTCACGGTTCACACGATATGTATACACATACGTAAGTACTCGTAAATAGTTTGACATTTATTAAAGTCGGTTAAATTTAGTAATACGAATCGAGCATTTGCAGATAATGATAACGATGATGATGAAAGCAATTTTCTTTAATTATAATCAATCGATATCAATGGTGCCGGAACAATCACCTAACTGCTGTCTTGTTTCATTTTTTTGTATTAAATCTTCTACCCACTTCTGTCTACACTGTTCTACATTCTTCTGCATGGCGTGGTTGGTTGGTAGTGGAAAGGAAGAGAATGCTCTTCCCAACAAATTACAAGCGCACTTGTAAGATATTTACTATTTTTATTATTACTCACTTTTTTCTTATTATTAACGTTATTACTAACAGTCCTCTATTTACCTTGACCCATTCATTATTCCTTCAGCCTGTTTTTAACTTTACTAAACGGATTCATTTTCTGGTTTTATATCAGTTTTGAAACAATCGATTCTTCATTTATTGATCTCAACTAATTTAACAAAATCAGTCAATTGTGTGGTAGTATAGTCTTAGTTAGACGGCACACCAAAAATTACAATATATCGTAAAGTTCATTGGAATAACGCGCCTTATGACTTGTTTTAAAAACAAAAAACAAAGTCCTTATTCTTTATGCAAAGTCAAAAGTCAAAATGATAGGTATCATCTTAGAATCGAAACGATGCATCTCACCTTTCCTTCGAATGCACACAATAAACCTCCACATGCATGTTGTATTTCTTCTTTAGTTAGTTTAAAGTATCACGCCTGATTTGAAAGTAGATATATAAACGTGAACTCTTCGACTAAGTACTACTATCTATCTCTTTTAATTATCTCTTCTCGGCCTTCTTGTGTAGTTACACGCTCTTGTCGTGAATGTTTAGAAGCGAATACGATGTGTCGATGAAACTCTAAGAGATTCGATACGGTTCGATTCTGCGAATAAATAACGTTGCGTTAAATACGATTTTATATTATGATTAAAAATCATCATATTTTGTTCCTTTTTGAACAATGCCCTATATAAACGCAACGATCGAGTTCGTCGAACAAACCGTCGACACTTTCGCAATTTTTCTTTTTCTTTTAAAGATCGGCATTGCGAAAAAAAAAAAAATTAAAATTCATTGTAGAATATTATTCAATGAAATAACTTATTTGTTTTGTTTCTCATCAGAGCTTGGTTGCGCGGCGCCATCGTCCTAGTATTTCTACTAGGATTAACTTGGACTTTTGGACTACTCTACTTGAATCAAGAATCAGTGGTAATGGCGTACATCTTTACTGTACTTAACAGTCTTCAAGGCCTGTTCATCTTCGTGTTCCACTGCGTTCAAAATGAAAAGGTAAGAAAATATAAAACTAAATGATCTTTTCATTTCATTTCTGGCAATTCTTTTGTATAGTTATTTGCATAAAATTAAGAATGAACAAATTTTAATAAAATTCTACAATAATTTTCGCTCACGAAACCAACAAATAATATTGAAAAATTGAAAAAACAGAATATCCTGTGGCTAATCACAGAAAAGGTCAGACTTTAACTTTGCAAAGCAACGTTTTGAGCAAAGAACGTGTAAAAAACTATAGATTTCCTATCGTAGGTAAGAAAGGAGTACAGAAAGTTCATCCGACGACACTCTTGGTTACCAAAATGCTTGAGATGTTCGAAGACAGTAACGGGAAGTTCCGGGTCTTCCGGTACGAGCGGTGGTGGAGTTGGACCTGGTGGAAACGGTGGAAAAGAATTTGCCTCGCACAACACATCCTCGAATCCTTCGGCACCAACAACGGACAGCTCAGGACTATCGCCTCATGCCGCCTCTAACGTGGGTACCACAACATCACCGCCGAACAATCACAACAATCTGACTGCGGCCTGTAACAATACGAATCTTTCGATAAACGTGAACCTGAACAATTTGTCGCTGAGGTCGCCGGTCGGGGCACACCAGATGCACATGATGGCACCTAGCAACCACAATAGGCATCCCACTCAGCAAGGTATCCAAACGCCGCTTATACACCAAACCGAGAAGCAAGATAAAAAATAGTTTGCAATAGGTATTCCTTTGATGAAAAATTCCATTTAAATGGGTGGATTGATCAAATGATCGATCTCTACCCTGTTCTCTCTCTCTCTTCTCTCATTCTCTCACTCATTCACTCATTCATTTACTCATTCACTTACTCACTCACTATTGCCCTCTCATTCTTTCTCTCTCTCTCTTACACATTTCTACTCGCTCACAATTCACTTATTCACTCACTCGCTAACTCGTTCACCCATTGGCTATTGTCACTCACATCAGTGCACATCTCATTTTCGCTTCTTTCTGCAAATATTTATCTCTCGTACTAATCGATTGCTAGCTGATCAACTTACTCTCGCTTTTTTTATCGCGCACTTCACAAACTGAGAGAGAGAAAGAAAAAATAGTAAAAAAGACAAATAAGTATCTCTTGAACTTCGTTGCACTTTCAACTCTAAATGATGTTCTTCGATAACTCTCTTCTGATGTGTTTATCTTTTCTTCGAGAACAAATTCTTCCTTAATTTAAAATAACATCTTGTCTAGTCCCTCTTCTCTTTCTATTTTCTTATCTGTACAGAGTATCTCTCATCATAACATCTTCATTTAGTTTTCCTGTAGCTCAATCGATTTTCACAACATTTTTCGTATTGCTCGCTCGAACTTAGTGCGAAAAAATCGCGTCATGTTTTTTTTCTTCTTTCCTTTTTTTTTCTTTTTTGTTTTTTGTTTCTGATTAAATACATTGGCCAAGTCTGTTGCAGGACGCGTTGTCATTGAGTGGTTAACTCTCGGTCTCCTCCTTCCTCTAATCGAGATTCTCTTCTCGATTTACTATACGTAATTTTTGTACGTGTCACGTAACTCGAAATTCTCCTATTCGAACTCTCCCATGCGCTTGTTCATTTTCAAGACACTATTTTGGTGGTTATCGTAGACTGAGTATCATCAAGGGTTGGATACGCAATAGAGACAAAAAAGCAAGCAAGAGAGAAAGAGAACGAGAAAGAGAAAGAGAGATAGAGAAAGAGAGAAAATGTAGGAACTAACAAAGTGGGTTTAGAAAGTGAAAGAGGGAGAAAAAAGTACAAAAAAGTAATATCACATGGAATATCGAAATAACAAGGCAAACGAAAGTCAGAAAACGTGCTCACCTATCGACTTTCTCGAATACATGTACTCTCGAACACGTACCAATAATGTACTCGAAAATTACGTTTGTCAATAAGTAGAAGCAACGTCGAATATTCAAAGTTGTTCTTTTGTGTATGTACTGTTGGAAGATAAATCCAGGAATAAATAGATGCTCAATAATTTCGGTTAACGGAAATCAACTGGATAGATAGATCCGATAGTAAAGAAAGAAAGAGAGAAAAAAATGAAGAGAAAGAAAAAGCGAGAACATTCACGGACTTAACTTTGCAGAGCTGTAAACACGCAAACGTACTATTTGCAAAGCCTTCTACTTACTAACAGTGGTGATTTTCGTGCTTCTTATCTGGCTCGGGGTTTGGTGTAACGCGGTTGCTGGTTACTTTGCCTCCTTTTCCAACCTACCAAGTCCCTCTTTGCCTCGTCCTCTCAAGAACAAACCCGTACCTCTATATGCAACCTTGCCTGACAAAGCGTGCGCTCGCACGCGATTTGTCATTTATTTCAGACGCTTCGGCTCTCTCACGGAGGGCTCCAACAGCAACAAAGGAATTTGAAAGCGTACACGTTCGTCTAAACGTCACGCGTATCTCTCTACCTGATTTACGCTAGTCCATCCTCGCGGCAATTTAGCGCTTTAGCTTTACTCGTTTGACCTATTTACGACGCGTCCGTTTAGTGTCCTTCAAATTTTCACCTTCTATTACGTTATATTTATATATTAAAAAAAAAAGAAGAAAAAGAAACGCGTTTTCAGAATATTAAAAAAATATGATACTTGATTTTGGTAATAAGAACGACTATAGAACTTTCCTTCTGCTATTCGTCCGCACGAAGGGTATAAATAAAAGATTAGCAGTAATTGTCCCTTATCATATTCTCACTTTGATATCTACGAAAAGGTGTTGTACTACGTGCTCACCTTTCCATTTTCACGCACGCTTTACATCCTTGTGTCACGCATCACGAAATAGATTAACTCGAAAGATCAAAAAGAAAAAAAAAATTCCCTTTCACCTAACTCAAACGAGATTAATTTTTTTTCTATTCGTGCTAATGAACAGTTTTAATTTAAACTTAAAATTTAGAAAGTATCTACACCATATATATATATACATATGTTCCTTAAATCTTTACTTAACTAAACTATCCTATTTTAATATCATTTCACTCTAATTAAATTGTCTTTTAAAAGCTTTGAATCAAATAGATCTAATACGTGTTTTTTAAATGATTCAGAAAAAAGAACAACCAAATCCAATAATAATCCTTTTTTCTTTCTTTGTATCGATATGTTTTTAACTAAGTAAATAAGAGCTCATGCGTTTTGGAAAGATTCGTAATGTTCGAAAGGTAGAGGAAACACGCGATATCAAGATTATCGAAGGAGTAGGACGGAAGGAAAGTCATAAGGTGGTTCTCTTCGTTTTCTGCCAGCAAAGCGATAGAGTTGAGCCGAGTCGACGATGCTGCTGCTTTTCCTTCGTAAAAATCGATCGATCTTTACGACGCGATAACCTTGACGAACGGTTTCCGTAATCCGCTCGGCCGCCGTTCAGATAAACCCAGAACGCATTACGTTTTCTAACGTATGTCCGCTTCCCTTCCAACGAGCTACTCTCTCGCCCTCAGTTCGATTTATGGAGGACGAAGACGCGACCAGACTTTGCCTTTGCTTTTAGGTCGCGTGCGCGCGCTCGTTTCGCACGATCGATCGATAACCGCGATTATAAACGAAAAAAAAAACAACAACATCAACTACGACCAAATAGAAAATTAAAAAAGAAAAAGAGAATTATATTCTTTCGATATGCGTTTCTCATCGATCGTTTGACGCTAATCTGCCTGATATCTTGCCTAATTTAGATGCAAACGAGCGTTTCAGCACTTTACTTTTTGGCTTCTCCGCGAAAGCAAAATAAATATCGATGCATCGTTTAAAATATGTTTTCACAATAAATGTCAACCTCCTCGATTTCGTATTTACTATAATATATGTACTATGTTACGTATGATTTTTCATATAAAAAATTCTAGTAAGGTAAATTATATAAAAAAAAAAATATAACGATATTAGGGAGTCGACCGTATTAAGATAAATACTAAAATAAGCTTTTTTGCTTGATGCAACGAAAGGAACAAGTTCTACGTTATTGTTCGGTAAAAAAGAGGAGAAAACAATAACGGCGGCAACTCTAGAGTATAGATTTACGCGCAAATAAGCACGACGCATAATATCGATTCTAATTTTTGCTATTATATTGCCGATAATTAATTTATCACACTAAAGCGTTTATTATTCCTTCCTCGACGTAAAACACAAAATTTTGGAATGGCCGTGGATCAGGTGGTCACGTAACGATCTCCGAGGTATCCGGTTTCCAATGTTATCGAATGGAAAAGTAAACGTTTTTTTTAATAGACGACTGCCGATTTTATTCTTCGTCTAAGAAAGGTCTTAATACCTTTTCAAGGTACTAGCTACCTTTGGAGATCCTACGATCCTTCGTTTACCTCATTGACTTCCCTACAAAAAGTGTTTCGCAGATTTAAACATATTTTACATATAAAAATATAATACAAATTTACATAATTTATATTTTACACAGCACACGTGCCGGTGATTATAACGATGAACAAAGTCAATGAATTTATTTTATAATACATATATATAAAATAAATCAATTTTTGTATTTAATCCGTTGTCATAATTACCGACATATATTTAAAGTGTATGATAAATTTGACAGTGTAGGTATACATAAAACACCCGCGAATACATTTCTTTTTTATTTTGTATCTTACGCATTATGAAAAAAGAGAAAAAGAAAATGGAGGTAAACGGAGGATTTAAAAGCCACGACCAATGCTTGATTTTCCAGTACTTGGTATCCGGTCGAAGCTGGGCGATAGTTGATAGGCAGCCGGCAGTCACTGTGCCAAGTGAATCCTCTGGCACAGAGGCTCACATCGTGGCAACCCTGCCGTACGCCCGTCACGCATTCTTACCCTCAGCTCCTAATATCCCCAAATCTGCCACCGCCACTTGGGGCCACCTTAACAAAAACCTCATGTGGAAGGTAACTAACTCGGCAGCTAGCTCGCAAGCGCTATTTAACGCTAATCTCTCGTCGCTACTCTTAATCGCTACTTTTTTCGCACAAAAAAACACATCTTCTTTTTGTTTTCTTTCTTCCCTTAATTATTTTCTTTCTTTTCCATCGACACATGTAAATAATACTATATTTATAAACTTGATTGCGCTGTCCTACAGTAAAGAATATTAACTTGTAATAATTTTTAATGCACAAAAATGCAATTATAGAAGTTACGTTAAAAGAGAGTATATATACGTATCTTTTTGTCTTATTGTTAAAGTTAGAAATAAATTCAATGTGGGATGCGCAGTCGATGCTTGTATTTTTCTCTTTTTTAGTCTTTACTTACAATTACCAAATTGTATCTAACTTTTAGCTAGATCGCCCTCTCGTGCATGGTGTGTGCTTCTCTCGTTTACTTATCGCTAAACGGCACAATGTTAAAACGCGAATTAAAGCCTCGATCGTCGTTGATATATTTATTTTCTTTTTTATCATTGCTGAGTTGAATAAAATTAATGACGAGTTTTACTACGCACTCAATTGACTCGAAAATGTGTGAACAATGTATTGTTCTCGGCTTTTTCTCCCCCCTTCCCCAGTTAACAACACAGTGCATGCGCAGCCACGACCGTTTCCCTCGACTCGCGACATACAAATTCAAAATTGCCGTGTTTTCTTCTATTGGCGAATTTATAAAGCCGCCATATCGTTGAAAAACAAAAAACAAAACGGCACGTTCGTTCACATTCCCTTTAGAAAGCAAAATCATTTCCAATCTAATTTAAGAAAAATATTAATATATTAACTTTTCTATTCCACCCACAGAACATTTCTTTTAAATCGTACTCCCGAGACTCTGGACACGGTGGATCCGAACAAGAAGACTCACCGAGGACGCATAATACTTTAACTCTAGGCCATTCGGGTCGCAATCGAGATCGAGAACGAAACCGTATCGTCGGCTCGAGCGATGGCAGCGAGATGATGGGTGGCAGCGGAAGGACAGCTACGACAACGGCTACGACTTCAGTGGGAACTGGGCGACGAACTGCCATGCCATACAATCATACTTATACGGAAATCGTTGATGGTAGAAACGGTGGAAGTAGTATGCATCACCAGATGCATGCTCATCACGGTCAACATGTACACCTACCAACGCATCGTGGAGTTGGCAGCGTTGGTGGGATAACGAACGAGGATGATCCTGTTTACGAAGAAATCGAAAGAGGCGGCGCAGGTGGAGCTGCCGGTGAGATACAAGTGTCAGACATGTCTGATGAGGATGGTCGAAGACAAAGCGACATGAGCAGACAATCTTCAAGAAGCTACGGTGATCATAGGCCGCTTATTCCATATTCACCTGCTAATGATCGCAACCTGCTCCATTATGGACAAACGATGAGCAGCGATCGTGTTAGTAACACTCATTACGATCCAACGGAATACGGTCCAACCGTTGAAAGAACCTTAAATGCCTGCTGGGAGAAACTACGAAGGCAGCAAGCAAGGTACGAGCTTGGTGAACTGCCACGACTTCCTGCAGGCTATGGTCTGCCACCTCAACAGGATCACACGAGAACCGTCGCCGTTCTCGACGGCCACACCGTCGTCTGTCATCTTCAACCCCAAACGGACATGTATACGGGACGCGGAATGCCACCGCCATCCTACAGCGAGTGTTAGGTCAAAGTTGGATCGTCTCGTCCTCCGCCTCGTCCATTATCCCCACATTTTGGGATAGGACTCTGCTCCTTTCGTAGGACTTGTCCTTCGACTTCGATCTCTCTCTAATTCCACTGTAGCGTCAGTATAAACGTCTCTCTCTCTCTCWCACACTCTCTTTTTCTCTCTATCTCTATCTTATTCTTTCATTTTCAATTTCACTCTGACTCTCTCCCAGATTTGTCAGAAAAGGGATATTATCTCTTGTTAAAAGGGATTTTTCTTACCTCCGAATTAGGACAGTTTAAATGGAAAGAGAGAGAGAGTCGAACAAAAAGTTAAATTTCGGAGAAAAGTCATGTAAACGAGAAGATGGGGTGACGATGACGGTCCTTCCAAGAAAAAACACGAAATGCTAGAAAACGACATTACTTCGCTTTTTTTAGCATGTTTTTTAAGCACACATGAGTCGATTGGCGGATACTTACGCGATGTTCGCGATGTATAAAACTTCAATAAACGATCGACACTCTGCGCCGAAAGATTCCTTCCTTGCTCTTCGCGTATTAATCACGATGTGTGTGTGATCCTTGCGAATAAAATATAAATGAAAAAAAAAAATAATGTAATAATTATTGTGTAGGAAGCGAGACGATCGCGTCGACGATGCGTCGGCAATACGTTTTTCTATTTTTTCCCCTTTTTTTCTTTTCTTTTTTTTCTTACTTTTTCTTTTGTAAAATAGGCATATCGCGACACATACTCCTCGTCCACGAGCTAAAACATTTTGTAAGTCGTTGTTTTTATTTTTTAAAATGATCATCCAGTTCTTTCTTTTCTTTTGTTCATTTGTGTATAATATATAGAACTCTCGTTGAACGGATAGATTAGGATAGTGACATATCGGATATTTTAGAAATTGTGAAATGTGATTGTATCGATCGCATCTGAAAATTGCCCTACTAAGAAGAGCAACTCTGCCTCTGGGCAGAAAGAAAAAAAGAGGAAAAGGAAGGGAAAGAGAGGGAGAGAGAGAGAGAGTTTAGGGAGGRTTTTGGACGGGAGGAGCTTTTGAACAGACCGAATTCTCGATCGTGACGCGTCAATATTTCCTCATAGAAATAATCATGCGCGCATTTTTTTAACCATTTTCTTTGACCACACACTCTACTACGTGCATATTTTTTTTTTAATTCGAATGCTTTGACGTTATCTTTTAAATAGAAGACCAAGAAAAAATTTCATTTATTTTCTTTACCGTTTTCCAAATAAATTTTTGAACTCTTACAAAAACATGTTTCATCCGATGATAAAAGGAAATAAAATTTCCTAATAATAAATATTAATTATCGATTCGAAATAAAGGTGAAATCGTATCTTAACATTCATAAATAAATAAGTAAGTAAGTAAATAAGTAAGTACCTTTGTCGGTCGTCCCAACCACAACTCCTCATTGTACATTGCTTTTGAAATGTTACGTTTTAGTCCCAGAATGTTATTTTTATAAATAAAAAAAGGTATACATATATATATATATATATATGTATACAATAACACGATGTTCTTGAACGAAACAAAAGAAAGGACACGGGGATTGTTGCGTGTACGTGCGTGCGTGCGTGTGTGCATGCGTGCGTGCGTTATGTATGTATGTATAGATGTATGTATGGAAATATATAAGCGTGCGCAAATAGGTATGTATAATGTGTATGTTTGCGTTTGCTGCGTACTATCAAACAAAAGGGACAGGTAGTGCGCGTGTATATGATTGTAGCGATATAAAAGCCGATTTTCCAAGCGAATGGAAAAATCGCTAATGAAACTTAGTCACTGTTTTTTACTATTTTTTAAAGGAAACTTAAGTATCGTAATAAAAAATAACGTTAATAATACGTGTAAAAAAGAAAAAAAGAAAAAAAAAGAAAGAACTAAGGGGACGATGCAGATCTTGTACGCACGTTCGTGCGCGCGAGCACGCTATTTATTTTTATCACCGCTCGTAATAAAAAAAAATAAAAGCATTTCTCTCGGTTAGGAATAAGCGCGACAAAGCCGACGCAGGATCGTCGACCGATGATCGGAAGATCCTGACTCCTTTCTTTCTCTCGTGATATTAGAAGCAAGCAGGTCTCATCGAGTTCCTCTTTTCTTCCTATCGTCGTGTCGCGAGAACAACAAAACTTCTACTACCGCTGCCATTTTTCGCGATCGACGCGGAAGAGAGCGTCGATAAAAAGATAATATTCGAGACGAGTATCGAACGCACGAAAATTATATTAATAATGATGATAATGATAATGATGATAATGATGATTGTAATAATAATAATAATATTAATAATAATAATAATAATAATATTAATAATAATAGTAATAATATTAATAATAATAATAATAATAATAATAATAATATTAATAATAAATATATTAATTATAGTAATAATAATAATAATAATGATGAATATGTCTAATCGATCGATGCTCGCCTCGGAAATAACACGGATAGTATCGCAGTCGCCCCATGGCTTTATTTATTTCTCGCTCGATCGACCGTTCGTCAAGAAAAAAAAATTGAAAAAAATATAATAAAGTAAGAAGATGAAAAAGAAGAAAAGGAAAAAGAAGAAAAAAAGGACGACGACGATGGAAAAGGAGAACGCATTAAAATGAAAAATTGACGTAGTCGTGTTTAAGGGTACCACAGATGTGTTGTATTTAAAAAGCAAGAAAAAGTTTAACGAATGATCGAGTGTGTACGATACGTTTGTGTGCGTGTGTGCGTGTCTATCTGTCTGTCTGTGTATAAGCAATGTTTGCTGTCAAAGAACAAAACGAGGAATATGTGCGAGCGTACGTTTCTACCCCTTTTAATATTTCGAATGTTCGTTTTGGAAGTATATAAAAAGAAAGAAAAAGAGAGAGAGAGAAAAAAAGAAAGAGAGAGAAAGAAAAAAAAAGAAAGAGAGAGAAATATCTTGGAAATCGATCGATTCGTCTTATCTTTTTATATTGTACTACAATTCGACGACATCAATGACAGCAATATAAACGTGCTGCCTAATTATACGATTACGGATGATAGATTATTAAAGGGAAGCCATTGTCGATTCTATATGAATCGTTACATTTATATAGTATTTAAGAAGGCGTCCCCCCCCCCTATACGTAGTTCTTGTATCCTTTTTTGTTTTTGAATTTCAAACTAAATTACGCAATCGATTATTCGATGTTTATGGTCCATAGACGCAACTAACTTTTCACGTCAAACTATATTCTCTTCTCTTTAGTTTTTTCGCTCATTGCTAATGTTTTTTCTTGAAGATTGTGAAGACTTCGTTTCCGTCAATAAAAAAAAAATAGAAAAAGAGGAATGAAACGAAGATATATGTTTACTTATTTATTACAATGTGTATTATTCGATGTAAGAAGTAAGATGTGACTATGGGCCCGACAGATCGCAAAACATGGCAAACTAGTTATAATTTTTTACGATCGAACCATGTGTAGATCTTATCGACGTAATAGTAACATATTAACAGATAATCGTTAAGGCACCCACATTCCATCCGTTAACGTGTCGTAAATCGAAAACCGAGGAAATATGAATGGAGCAAAAGGAAATAAAGAAAAAAAAAGAAAGAAAGTGAGAGAAAGAGAAAGAGAGAGAGAGAGAGAGAGAAAGAGAGGGTCATCAGCCTATGAAGACGAGCCAAGGAAATAGGCAAGGATTTCATCATTCAAGAAAATGTAATAATCCTTCGTTCTCTTCTGGCGATGTCGACAATCTCTTCTGAAAGAAATTTTGGGCTACGTGGCCAAGTCGAGAGTGTGTGCATGCGAATAAAAAAAGATAAAGATAAAAATAAAGATAAAGAAAAATGAARAAGACGCGCGGACGTTTTATTATTATTAATCGTCGACGAAAGATAACTCTCAAATCGTTGTACATAATGTATATAAGGCTTTGTACATGTTGAATACTTCTAATGTAAATGGAAAAAGAGAAAAAAGTGAGAGATTAACGGCGCACCATAAAGATTAATGTGAACAAAAGTAAAGTAAATAAGCGAATTAATTAATAAGTAGTAAACCATCCTAAATACTATCGTTGTGACGGCGATGAGAGCGTAAGAAGAGCGTTTAACTTAAGTCCCAAACGTAAATTAGTTAATATGTAAATAAATTAAATGAGGAAGTAAAATATTAAATGAGAAAAAAACCTCAAATAATCATTGGATATTTATAATAAATGAATCCACTAAAAGAAGAATGTGAGAGAAAGAGAGAGAGAGAGAAAGAGTGTGTGTGTGTGTGAAAGAGAGAAAGAATTAAATACAGGAAAAAATAAAAAACAAATGTTACGTAGTTTCGACAAAAAGAAAAAGAAAAATGGATATTAATGAGTGATTCGTATTGTGAACGTATTTAAATCGTTAATGAACAAGAAAAAACAAACAAGAGGGAATGAAAAAAGGAATAGAATGAACACAGATATACGAGCAATGCATGTTCGATTCGCAGCTATTTTATAAAATATATTCCATCGTTCGACTCCTTTCTCCTACGTCTCCGCTCTGCTTTCCTACCTCCTCTTTTCCCCGTCCATCCTATTTTCCGCGATTAAACGAAGATAATTACAATAATCCTCTCTTCGATCCCCGATCGTTATAATCTTATATTCGTACCGCATTATCCGACCGTTCCTTGAATCCTAAAAGACTTTTGCTTTCATCCCAGCATCCCTTTTTATTACAAGACAAAATAAAAATTTAACTAAGGAAAAAAGTCCATGTTCAAAATAATGATTATACAAAATGGCCATAACAATGCAAACAAAGTTAAAAGACACCAAGCGAGAATATTTTGTAAAAAAAAAGCGTTACGTACATACACTTTCTTTGGAATAATAGTTATTATATGTATATGTATATCCAAAGACCGGAGCCATCGTGTCATGATAAAACATGCTATTCGAGAGCCGAGGGACAAAATTCTCGATTTAGGTCGACTTTTCTGTGATCTTTATCCTTTTTTTTTTACAATTATCTTTCCTCCATAAATTCATTTAATTATCGCGAACCGCCAAGATCTTTCCGCCATTGCCTGCCTGCGCGCATTAGGAACGCAGATAAGACAAGATTGTAAAACTTAGGTATTTCCAAATCGGATAAGAAATCTCCGTTTCTTGATTTTGTATTGCTTCTTTAAGACTGTCCGATGATACAGAGAAAAAGGATAAATAAATGTGTACCAATCTCTGAAGAAAAATCATTAATCCTTATCTTTAATTTTAATCCTAATTTCGATGATCAATTGTAGTAATGTGAAGGGAATAAGGTTTAGAAATAATCATTATAAAATTTGTGGTTTAAATCTGTGTCCATTTTCTAAAAAAGAATAATTATCTCTCAGCTCCATATTTTATTAACAAGTTGATTACATCCATTTGTTTACTTCGACGAGCTGCGACCAAAGGTGTAACATCAAAAAATGCTTTCTCGTGTACATCAATGAAATTATTCATTAAAATATATTCCAGCATTACCATATTTCCTATTAAAGAAGCTATATGTAGGATTGTTTGACCGACCTTATCGACGGCGCGAAAATCCGCACCCAATCGTATCAAACGCTTTAGTACGTTTAAATTCCCGCTCTTAACAGCTTCGTGAAGAGGCGTAGCACCTGATGAATCACGTGCATTTACCAGACCCGGATCCGCAGTTGAGAGCAAATCGATTATCTCTTCGTGTCCGTTGAAAGCTATAAAAGTTGAAAATACTGTAGAAGAAACCATGGATTTAAAATTGTGCCTGAAACGTATACTTAAATTTACAAACTCGTTAATGGAATAAAAGAAAAAAGATATTAAATTCGAGTTTCTTATCTAAACTGTAAAAAGATTTCTATTTTTATAATTACCAGCTATATGAAGAGTACTACGACCGTTGTTACTTCGAAGAGCGATACTTTCAGGAGCGTAATCCAAAAATAAACTAAGTGCATTAACGTCACCAGAACGACAAACTATAAATGCAGGTATCCAACCGTCTTTGTTCCTTCTCAAAGGATCCGCCTTTGCTTCAAGTAATGTCCTGATACACTCGCACGCCTCGCTACCAATCTTCGTGCACGCTAACATCAGTGGCGTCCAATCGGCACGCTTCAAACAGTCGATGGTTGCACCTGAAAAGAAAATAAAAGCCATTGTGAAAAATAAATAATAAACAAAGGAACAAAACAAATAACAAAGACATAAAGAAAAATATAAATTGTTGTAATCGTTATCATAATTCATTTAGAAAAAGAAATAAATTTTGTGTTATGTATGCATATATAAAAATGAAAGGAGAAAGTTTAAGAATAGCTCGCTTTGGAAAAAGCACCTTTTTCTATTAAGTAACGTAGAACGTGAATACGCGAGAATTGCGCTGCTTCGTGCAGCGGCCTTTTCATATCCTTGTTAACAACGTTGACTTTAAAGTCAACAGGTCTTTCGAAAGAGTCGCATAAATACTCGATTACGTTCAGATGACCTTCGCGCGCTGCAACGTGCATAGGAGTGTCACCGGAAACCATATGCCGAAAAACCGTCCAATCCTGTACGTCGTACTTTAAAGTAAGATTTTGGATTTTTGACAAATCTCCGCATTGACAGGCATGTAAATAATCACGGGATAGGTTAGGTACTATTATTCCCTTTGACATTTCCAATGCACTCCTTTTTATTTATTAAAGTGCGCGCGTTTTCCTTTCGATTCTCGAGAAACGATTGCAAGTGGAAGACTCGAAACGATTGTGAATTTATCGTTAGATCAATGATACGATTCAGTAGAAATACTTTCGATATCTCCAGATATCACGAAACGCATCGTTAAGGTAGTGGTAAATGCTGCCATCTAGCAACGGCGCTCTTTTCATTTCTAACTAAAAATAAGCGCGAAATTTCAAACGTCCGATCAGTGATCGTATAAGTGAAATTTGAAAAATACTAATTATAAATAAACTTACAAAGAACATGTTAGTAAAGAATATCGTCTTTTAATTAAAATAGCATTTTATATATATGCGTATATAGAGATTTCGTGTAAACGCTTTGTTTTGAAGTTAATGAACAACTTTACTTTTTAACGCTATATCTCTGCACCCATGTATTATGCCGGCTCTCTGTGAAACAATGCGATTAATTTTTTGCCAATTAAGTATTTCCGGGCAAAGCTTGCATAATCATCTATACAATCGAGAAAAGATGATTCGCGAGAAAATTACTTGCGCTAAGATTCAAGGTTCTATCAAAACTTAATACTATGTAACTCTTCGTCGCCGTTTTAACATAATCGTTGTTGCATCGTTCTATCTCTGTTGTTCTATCGCTTGTATTGTTTCAACGAAACAATCCTGAAATTTATCCGACTAATAGCAAGTAAATTCTTGGTAATAGTACCTCGTAGTATCTTAAAACATATATACATTAATTCACATATATTCGATCTTATATTAGATTATCTAGTTAGAAAAAATAAGAAATTTTATTGGAATATTAATATTAACAAGATTTCTCTATCCTGATTACATAAATATTTCTTCCGTTTTTTTTCACTTCTCTTTAAAATCACTCTCTCCAATCCGATCGTAGAGCCATCCATGGTCCGTTCTCTTTGTTACAATACTTTTACCATTCTAAATAACGGTGTCAACGATTTTCGAAACGGAACAAAGTTGCGCGAAGAGTTCCGTGCGAGCTCGTACGAAATGCGATACGAAGTTTTCGATGTCAGTATTCTACAAGTATGATTTCAACGCTATCACAATTCTAGGGGAGGAAAGGGGACAGTTCGCCGATAATGTTTACTTTCACATCCTCGACAAGACCTTCATTGTCTTTATGTAAGCAGGAAGGCGTGCTATCGTCGTAACGACGTCGACTTCGGCGTCGGCGACGAACATCGACCGGATTTACGCGCGAATTTAATAGTACGTGATCGTCGCTTCGATAACTACAATTTGACCGTACAATAGATACTTCATAATTGCCAACGATCATCTGGCGCCAGTTTCACTTATCAAGAAATTATCACGTCGCATATTTTCGTCATTAAAATTCGTTATCCTCGAAATTTCCAATGAGATTCGTCGAAACAAAAATCGACTCATCTTTTTCCACGTTCGTTGTTATTATAAGGAAAAACGAGCGTTAAGAATTACATTACATTCTCTTTTCAAGTACATCATCGCAAAAGGTACGACGATGAGCATACTTAACGAGGCCGCATCTTCTTTCGCACTTTTTCGAACCGTGATAGATTCTATAGACGGCGAGACTCGTCTATATCGATTTCGAAGAAGACGAAGAAGAAGAAGAAGAAGAAGAAAAAGAAGTCAAAAAAGGAACGAATCCGATACTTTTCCACGTAGTTCGCGAGATTCTTAAGCGTACAAGTTCAAGGATGTACAGTCCGATATAAACGTGCTAGATGTGTCTTGAAGGTCATCGAGTGTACAAGTATCATGATTACGCTCGTAGAACGTACAGACTATCCAAGACGTTTTTCATTGTCTCATCAGCCATACCGAAACGTATGTATATATTGCACGTACATGCATAAGTACATACGTAATTGCTAAAAAACTTTCAGCTAAATCTTATTCGTACGTTCGTTTATAAGGAAAAAATGCACTGTTCTCTAGTTCCAGTCATTTCCCGCCTATTTTTCTTCACTTTATCTCTTGGTAATCGAACACTCGTTTGGTGTCACAAGTTGATACGGATCGTTGGAAATAACGGAATTAGTCAGCACTTGTTCATGAGTCAGATCATGTTCTGTTCCCGAAATATTATGTTAATTCATTAGAGAAAGCATAATAGTATAGGAATATAGTGATAGAGAAGGTGATTAGCCGTCACGGGGTAAGAGAATTACGTGGTTTACTTGCACCGAGATAAGAGATCGATCGATCGTTTCGAGGTCATGGCTCTCGCTCACAATCCCGATCGATGAAGGTAGAGAGGAAATACCCATATGACTATACTGGTGTATGTATTTGCTGGACATCGATCTTGGACACACCAGTGACACTCGTGTATCGGATAACTCAACGATAACGCGACGAACAAGTCTATCGATTCTTTTACGTTACCATGGCTAATTGTACGAATAACCCTATCGGTACCACTTTGTACCGTTTTCAATGAGGACTTTATTGACTTTAATCGTAGAAGGATAATAGAAGACAAATAGAATTGTCTATCGTGTTAAATAAAAATAAGATTATAATATATTTAATGTAGTGAATTTTATTTTTTTAATTGCGTATGTACATAATCGAAATTATGATTTATAGAAGAACAATGAAGTTTAATATAAAATACTAAAATTCTCATAATCTCTTGATATTATATAATAATGTAAAAGACAGAATAAAAAAAAAAGTAACGAAAAAATAGGTAAAAGTTAGATTAAAATTAAAAACAAATCTTTTATAAAAATAGAATGAATTTAAAAGGGTTCAAATTAGTACTTGAACGTTGAATTTCAAGGAAGACAAGAGAAAGAAAGCAGTAGAATAAAATCATCATCACGTCAACGTATAGACGACGAAGACTTACCAACCACGTCGTCGTCCCTCTTTGGATTCTCGCTCATCCTTCCTTCCTGCCTTCCGGGCTATGCTTTCCGTTCTCCCTTCCTTCGTGTCTATTGGCGCGTACGAGGCCGCGATTTCAAAGCGCGAGCGCGTGCAAGCGAGAGACGTGGGTACCAAGCTCGCGATCGTCTACGGCTGCAGTCGACTACGGGCGCACCTGGCCGCGCCTGTCCTGTCCTGTCCTGTCCTGTCTGCCTGCCTGCCTGCCTGTCTATTTACTTGCTTACCTGTCTGCTGCTTGCTTGCCTGTACCGGCGTATCAAGAATCGAGCGTGCGCGTACTCAAATGCCTTTACCGACCTAACATTACTGCTATCTCACAAAGCGAACGTCTTCTTTTTCTTCTTCATTGCCTTCCGCGAATCAACGAAAGGAAACGACACCCTCTCGATCGATTGAATCATTGATTTTCCGTGATTTCGTGACTTTCGTTTATAATCTTTTACAAAAAGTGTCATTTTTAAACTAAAAAAGAGTGCATTGTATTTATTATTATTATTCTATCATTTTACCCAAAGTTATTTTTATTTAAAAAAAAAATTATTATACGAAAATTTTAGTACATAAAGAATCATTTTTAAACAGGTAGGGATTATCTCTTATCTTAGATTAGTGTGTATAATGCATGAGCTCAAGTAGGTCTAAAGAGAGAGAGAGAGAGAGAGAGAGGTGTATGTGTGTGTGTACGCTTGTGGAATACCACAAATTCCTTAACAAGAAAGCACGTCGTTATCCTTTGCCGTGCGAATTCTATCTCTGAATGTATTTTCGAAGCGACCAAGTTTGAAGCTGAAGAAGAAAAGCGTACGAGAAACGAGTATCAAGAAGAAAGAGAGGGAAGTTGGTGGAGGTGGAGAAAGAGAAGAAGAAGAAGAAGAGGCCTTAGAAGAGAAACACGAACTGGCAAGAACTGAAGTAGGGAGAAGGAGAAAAAGAGAGATAGAGATAGTGAAAAGGAAGAGCAGCAGCAGCACAAGCAGTAACAGCTTCCTCGTAACAGCTTCTACGAAGCTTTACTTTTATTCTTGAGTTAACGTTTAAACGTTCATAAATCGGTAACTCGGAGGGGGTTTTACATGCGTCATCATTGTACGGGTACAAATCGCACGCGCCTCGACGTCCCGACGACAGTACACGTGCGCAACGACGTACTACGTCGGCCCTGTTCTGGTAATACGGAACGTCTCAGTTCTTCTTCTTCTTCTTCTTCTTCTTCATCATCTTCTTCTTCATCATCTTCTTCTTCAAGGACACGCAGTGATAAATGTGGTACTGCCGCGAATGACACCAACCGCGTTCTCCAAAATGATTATCTTATTCTTCTACCTCGTACTCCTCTGCAAAGGTAAGTTATAACAGATATATTTCTTTTCTTTTTATTTTTTTTATTATTTCTAGAGCAACGAGTAAAATATCGATAGTAGTTCAAATCATGAAACACTTACGAGATACTTAAACCCTTTTTCAATTTATAATTATTCGTGAACGAACCAAAAGTGTGTAAGAATAAAAGTAAAACAGGTATGTGAGGAGAATTTTTGCAGTTTTTTAAACTTTTTTATTCAAGAACGAATAATTGCGTTATAACAAATGAAATAATTTAAGTTTTAATAATCGGACAGTTATTTTATCGTTATTCTTAATAATTAAGGTTTTTCTAATGTAAATTAAAAAAGAATGCTCAATGTTTTCCTTGTTTTCGGGATTTACACATTGACAGTAAATAATACTATTAAGGATATTATGCATCGTTACACAATCTCTAAGAATTCTCCTTTTACCGCGTGAATTGCAAAGCTTTTATATTGTATAAAAGAAAAACGCGAGTCTTAAGATTGAAATGATCATCGATTAAATGAGAAAACGCGTAAGATGAAAGGAACAAGTTATTCTTCTTTCTTCGTATGAACAAAAGAGGATTTGTTAAATAAGCCATAAACTATGAATTAATATGGTACGTGTCATCTTTTTTACGACTGCGAAGGCCTTAACCTCGACAAGGGCCACGTAGCCACTAAATGACTATACCGAGGTTGCATTCAGAATGAACATATCGTAAGCACAGAGCGTTCACCGCCGAACATCGATAACATCGATCGACCTCTTGAAATGTTTTTGAAATTTCATTATTCAATAAACTCGAGGACATTCCTCATAGAACAACTAAACATTCTTTTTCCCTCTTCCTCTTCCTTACTGACATGTCCTAGAAAAAAAGGCACAAACTATGTCTAGATTATTACTTCGCTCTCTTTAATCGTTGAAAACGTCAACGTGAAAACAGAACGATATGACTTTCTCTGTGCATTTTGATCCCATTTTCTCTCTCTTTCTCTCTCTCTCTTTCTTTTCTTTCCCTTTCTGACATTGAAATAATTTCATAGATTAATTGTAAGTTTATAGCGATAACTAGGCGAATCGTTATACTACGCGATTACGGATAACAATGATACAAAGAATCCAAATGTATACAGAAACAAAGGTGAGAACATCACAAAAGAAGTAGGTAGAAACCGTAGACAAATAATTGATCAGACTAATTATAAGAAAATTAACTCGTTTGACTCATCATTCGTATGACTGTCGATCAAATGATCGATGTTAAATAAATCCTATATCTTTCAGAGAATCTTTTGATGAAAGCACCTAAGATTCATCAAGAAATAAAATTTCACATTAAAATTTATACAAACCGATATTCGTATATGCGTTCATTTAATGTATGCTACATTTTACATCGTTTGATACTATCACTCAAATTATTAGAATACAAATAAAAGAATTCCAATCGTAATGGATCATGAGAACCAATAGCGAAAGTACTTCTTTAT